TTAAATAGAAATCTTGCTAGTTGAAGGATGTGGATCATAGGTGCCATAGTCAGGGCTCTCCAGGAAGGTACATGAAAATGTGATGCCCCTTTGAATTAACAATGGATTCTGCTTAGGTATAGAGATTGGAATATTCTAGAAAAACTAGGATGTGTATTTGGATGTGTGTAGAAAGAGAATTTTTACAAGAAAAATGGTAGAAACAATATAAGCAAAAGTTAAAAAGAAACAATAAATTTAATTTACCTAATCAATTAGTTTTCTTTTGATCATTCTGGATATGGATTTAGATTTTCATTGTTTCTCTTTGTAGGTAAATGTCACTCGCGAAGAGTCACCAAGTGAAGACCCTATCTTTCTCAGAACTTTAGGAAAAGGAGACTGGTTTGGAGAGAAAGCCTTGCAGGGGTAAGTAGACCAGCTGTTGGACAGTTTCTGTCTGAGTGGTATACAATTTTCTGCCTTAAATTCTGAGCTCTTAGGAAGGCATGTACTTTCTTTAGTGCTGTACTAATACCAAATACAGACCCTTGACAATAATTTTGACTTATTTTCAGCAGGACTTGGGTAGGGGAAGGAAATAAGGGAAAAGAAGAATATGAGAAAAGGAAAAAATGGAAACAAAGTCTTTGTAAAGAGAGGAGGGTGGAGGGGGTGAAGAGAGGACAGGTGTATGGGGAAAAACTGAGAGCCAAGATCTGTTTTGTAAAGGTACAAGATCCCAATGATGAATGTCATTGTACTGTATACTTTAAAAGTACCAATAAACTCAATTCAAAACAAAACAAAACAAAACAAAAAATAGGCAGCGAGACTGATAAATTTCTATCAAATTATTGCTATATTAGTAGGCAAATTTCTTGGCTTTCTGTTCCTTAACTGCAATCTCTCTAATGATTCCAAAGGAGAAGTGTGCAAAACTTAACTTTGTGCAGCAGTCTTACTTGGAATCAAAGAAACGATGCTGGTTGAGAAATTGAATCTTTATTCGTGAAAGTGGTGGTTGAGAAGGCAGTGAAGCCTTCCTAGCGTTCACCTCTGAGTGACTGTTGTTATCGCTCTGGTGGTGATGGAGATGGAGAAGTTGGAGATGGAGGTACTGCACATCGGACCCACTGTGTGTGGGCTCTGAACGCTCAACCAGCATAAATATACTTCAGGATGACAAAACCGCTACTTACAAACTTACTTCGAGAAGTAAGGACTTGAGATTTCTTTCCAGAGTATGTAAGAAAACAAGTCGTTCTATTACCGTGCATTTTGCAAAATGCATGGCAAATATATTTGAAATCCTACTCTTATTTTCAAATGGGCAAAATATCTCAGTTACCAGCAAATACAGATGAGACTCTTCAGAATTTAGTGTTGTATGTATATGCACCACTTGAATAAAAACTAACTAATAAACATTTATTTTTGTATCAGATTCCATATTCAGGAGTGTCTACAGCAATAAGATATAATTTACTCCTAAAATATTGTCACAGTTTTGCTTCTGTTTCAAATTGTGCATTTGTTTAAAGATTAAATTATAAACATTTCTATAAAGAAATAATTTAAGGAGTTTTTATCTTTGAATTTTTTTTTTTGGTACTTTACATTTTTTTTTTTTCAAACTCAGGACCTTGCATTTGCAAGGCAAGTAGTGGAACCGCTGAGCTAAATCCCCCGACCCAAGGAGTTTTTATTTTAAAAGTCATAATCAGATAGCATAATTTATTTTCTTATTTCACATAAGAAATGAAAGAAGTATATCTCAATAAGCCATCTTACAGAGGTCGTGGTACTTTATGAAAATCCAGAACTAAATGCACTAGATTTTCTGTTTACTTTTACTGAGTTCTTTTGATCCTTATCTGACTGCATATATTTGCAATTAGATTTTTTGCAATGTCAGAATTGGAAGAAATAGGAGGTTCAGTGTAACTCTGCAAAGGAATGCAATAAGCAAACATTATCTTCTTGATATAAAGCTTTCATTCGTACCTTAATCTTTCATTCCTCTGATTATTGACTATGGAGAGGGCTCTACAGAGTACCACACGACTTCATTGATCCAACATTAAATGGCCCCATGTAAAGCAACGTAATTTGCAAGAGAGGTTCCTCAAAAGAAACCAGAAACATTTACTATTATTTCTAATTGAGATCATAAATAGAATGCCAGAAACTAATTCATAAAAATAGGTTTGCTTTCTTTCTTTTTTTTCTTTTTTTTTTTTTTGGTAATGGGGATCAAACTCAAGACCTTGCACTTGCGAGACAGGTGACAGAACCACTGAGCCAAATCCCCAGCTCCCCAATAAATTTTCTTTTATGATTTTATTGTCACAGAATTTGGTGCCAATTAATAAAGACTTACAAGAAAAGTACTTTGTATTCCAAGGAAAGACTTTGATGAAACAATTTATGGAAAAGTTGCCATATTTTGCACGAACACTAGAATTTAAATGAATGGTACTCCATCTAGACTGCATCCTTTTGACATGTGGCTTTTCTTGTGAACTATGTGGTGCCAGGAGTTTATTTTGCACCTATTCAGTTATTTTCACCGGTCATCTCTTTTAGGCCTCAAAATACAAGGGTGATCGAAATATATGGTACATATGCAAAATTTAAAAAATTTATTACAAAAAGGACACAATGCCATAAACCCCCACCAAAATATTCCCCCCTTGATTTGAACACACTTACCCCACTATTCCTGCTACTTTCCAAAGCAGTTCTGGAAGTTCTCTTTTTGAGTGTCTTTAATGAGGCATGATAAGGAATATAGTGAATGTAGAAATGCAGCGTGTAAAAACATTACAATATGTCTTCACTCAGTTTACTCCCCAGATCTGGCGCAATGATACTTTCGGATCTTCCTCAGAATCAAAATGACCATGAAAAATAAACATTTTAAATAAATTCAGGACAGTGAGGCAATCACAGTTGCAAAGACACCCCAAAAAAGGACTTTTGGAGACGCTTTAGAAAACGGTAAGAAAAATGAGATAAGTGTGTTTGAAGTAAGGGAGAGTATTTTGAGCAGCATTAATAGCAGTGTCCTTTAATTAGCTTAAAAAAATTTAAATTACACCAAGCGTATTTGTGGATCGCTCCTCATAAGTAACCTCCCTTTCTCTCTTCACCTCACCCCACCATTCCCCTCACAGTCACCCCACTGTTCATTCACACCTCTTCTTCTTTTTATGCCCTTTGTGCTCAGTCTTCACTATGAGATCCGGTTTTACGGGATCTTCTTGACTACAGGAAGTGGGTTGCTCATGTGATGAGTAAAATAACATGAGGAGAATGAACAGCAAAGGGAAAAGCCTTACGCGATGACAGCAGTTACTGAACTAGTTTGTTGTTTCTGTGCAAAAGGGTGACTTCAACTTATTTATAAAAGTGGAAAAAGTAGATGTAAAGTATCAAGGATATATTCATTTTATTTACTTTTAACTTTATATTAAAAAAATAACTCTTCACGTTAACAGGCGATTTCTATGGGCTGCCATGGTGTGTCTTCTGTCAATCACAGGTGCCTCTAAATTTCATATGAGGAAAGACTCTTAGCTTAACTCATCTTGATTATTTCCTTGTTTTAATTTAACATTTTAATGTCTTGATATCCTTTATCTGCAATTTATTTTAACTCTGTGTCCCAGCCAGGCGTGGTGGCTCATGCCTGTAATCCCAGCACTTGGGAGGCTGAGGCAGGAGTGTCGCTGTGAGTTCGAGACCAGCCTGGGCTACATAGTGAGTTCCAGTTCGGTCTCAACTACATAGTGAGACCCTGTCTCAAAAAACAAAAACAAAAACAAAAACAAAAAACAAAAACAAAATAACTCTGTGTCCCTATGCTTATTTTTCAAATCCTTTCCTTAAATTTCAATTTTTCACACCACAAATTTTAACATGATACAAATCAAATTGATTTGTTTCACAGGTTCCCTTCTAAATAACTTAGAAATCCATATAGCTTCAGAGATATAGTCTTTGGATAATTACATAGTGTATATCCTAAGGTTATTAGGTATATTGATTTGAAAACTGTATCATGTTTTACACTTGGGAAAATTAAATCAGCATTCACTGTGTATATGTAATATAGCAACTCATGTGTATGATTTTTCTCATAAATAAAATTTGTATGCACTAGAAATTTTTATTTTATTTTCCTGAATTTGTTCAACAGATCATTAAAGTTTTGATACATTTGCAAGTGGTGGTTAAATGAAATGAATACTTTCTTGATTGTTCTTTTTAAAATTTGAGACTACACAGTATTAGTGTTGGATGAGTTCATAGTAAGTTGATAATTATAAGATATTGATGAAATGTAAACTCATTATCCTGACTTCAGAATTCAGCCTCCTGACCATTCTAGAACTCTGCCTCTAGAAGTAACAAGCTTCTTTTATTTATTGAATGGAAGGTGTAGAGTCATAAATATAGCCATCTTCCAAGCAATATTGTCAACGTCAATTAATTAAAACTGTCTCATTACTAGAAAAATTGTAGTCATTTATTTTTTCATTTTGGTTCTATAAACCAAATTATGCACTATTGTTGGCTCGAGTATCAGGGTTTTTTTTGAGAATTTTTTTTTTTAGCTTTAATTGAGTTTATTGGTACATTTTAGGGATACAATACAGTTACATTCATTGTTGGGATCTTGCACCTCTACATGACAAGTCTTGATTCTCATTTTTTCCCCTT